GCAAATGTGAAATGGGCAAGCCCCCCAATTTCCCCACCCTGCGTAATTAGCCGCATTTTTATTCGTTTTTCCGACCTAAAGAAAGTTTTCCGAAAAGTGAGAGAGTGTAAGTGATTTGCGCTGCCGGCCGGTTTCCCCATTCTTTTTGCATAATACCCGCATGGGAATAACGGTGTCCGGGCTGCGTAAATCGATTCGAATTGGAAATTGGGTTTCCAGCGACCTCAAAATGCAAGTAAATTAATAAAGTCGCGTAGACTTTCGAATTCCAACATGGCGGCCGGCTGCATGTGTGTGCGCGTTCGATTTCGCCTGGATTGTTCATGTTTCGGATTCCCGTTCCCACGCCGTTTATTCCCGAGTTTCTATTGGAATTCGCAGGCAGAAAACGAAATCTGCGGCATGACACATGGTGGGCAGATTATTTCCGTGCCCTGCATCTCCGCCGCAGTATTTTTGCATGTGCCTCCCTTCTCCCCCCTTAGCTTTCTTGCAATTTGCACTTCGATGCAACTACAGAGATTTAAAAATAACATGCAGGAAAATCGGCAAGTGAAACTGTCACTAGGGTAGAAAATAAATCACAACGCCCTGCAGTTCTCGCCGTCTCTTTCCCTCCCTTCTCTGCCTGAGCAGCAAGTGCACTGCGCCCGTTCGCCGTCCCTTTCGCTCCCACTCTCTCCGTCTCCTTCTGCAGTTTTTCACCCTTTGGAATCGCGCAATTTTCGCCGCACGACCGCCGCCGAATGCCGATGCTTTTGGCCATTTCCCGTTGAATTTCTACTTCACCGTGCTGCGAAAGCTGCCAAATTTCGCCATTTCGACATTTGGCTTGGGTGAAATCCGCTTGTGTGTGCGATTTTCATTGGTTTTCCCACTGAAGAAGCCGGCCGGCACATTTTCGCCTTCGACTGCCGCAATGTTTGCCGCACTTTCCGGCTTTCTGGCGAGGCTTTCTCTTCGGCCTAATCCTCTCCAGCCGAGGAGAGTGCATTTCCCCAGTACGCACACTTCGGCTCGAAGTTCGTTTCTGTCTGGGGCTCGGTATTGATTTTTCGCCCGGTGCACATCGGCAGTGGGATATACACGCCAGTCTTCATTCAACAGACACTTGGCCAGGTCGTGGTCCGGCTGCAGAGTACGGAAAATCCGTATAGAAGTAATAAACTGTAATTTTTATCACAACGTTTTCCTTCTAATTCTAGGATATTGCGTCCAGTGGATTTGTGATCAGTTTTTGATAGCACAGCGTTGCCAAGTAATAGCAGCTTAAGAAAGTCTCGTGAAATCAGGTGAGTCTTAAATTTTCTGAATACTTTCCGGAAATGCTGCAGACATTTGTGGGTACTAAATGTATGGGAGGGTGTATTTCTTAATCGTCAAAAAAAGGATTTTTTTCTCGACTGTACACTGTCAAAAATACATCCCGAAATGTTCGTATTAGGCTCAATTTAAATTAATTAATAAACTGTTTTTCGGGCTTATTCATGTAAAGTTTCAAGTTCTTATTTTCGAAGAATAAAAGTTCCATGTTTTTTCCCTGGTGTACATTTGTGCATGTCTGTATGAACTGTGCTTTTGGTGTCTACACCACGATGACACGACCCACAGCATACAGACGTCACTCGTCTGCACCACCCATTAAGTTCAGACCCACTTTGGCATGCTACCTCCCTGCGTCCGGAAACCACCCACTTGGCTCATTCATTTTCTGCATCCCTTCTTTCTCCCAGCAGCTCTAAAAAAAAAGCTTAATCTGTAAGGATGGGCAAGGAGAAGATCCATATTAACATTGTGGTCATTGGCCATGTGGACTCCGGCAAGTCGACGACCACCGGCCACTTGATCTACAAATGCGGCGGCATCGACAAGCGTACGATCGAGAAGTTCGAGAAGGAGGCCCAGGAAATGGGAAAAGGCTCCTTCAAGTACGCTTGGGTGCTGGACAAGCTGAAGGCGGAGCGCGAGCGCGGCATCACCATCGACATTGCCCTGTGGAAGTTCGAGACGTCCAAGTACTATGTGACCATTATCGATGCCCCTGGTCATAGGGATTTCATCAAGAACATGATTACCGGCACCTCTCAGGCCGATTGTGCGGTGCTGATCGTCGCCGCCGGAACTGGTGAGTTCGAGGCCGGGATCTCCAAGAACGGGCAGACCCGCGAGCATGCCCTTTTGGCCTTTACGCTGGGCGTGAAGCAGCTTATTGTGGGCGTCAACAAGATGGACTCCACTGAGCCGCCGTACAGCGAGGCCCGCTACGAGGAGATCAAGAAGGAGGTGTCCTCGTACATCAAGAAGATTGGCTACAATCCGGCCTCCGTGGCCTTCGTCCCCATCTCCGGATGGCACGGCGACAATATGCTGGAGCCCTCCGAGAAGATGCCCTGGTTCAAGGGATGGTCCGTGGAGCGCAAGGAAGGCAAGGCAGAAGGCAAGTGCTTGATCGACGCGCTGGACGCGATCCTGCCGCCTCAGCGTCCCACCGACAAGCCGCTGCGCCTGCCGCTCCAGGATGTCTACAAGATCGGAGGCATCGGAACCGTACCAGTTGGTCGTGTGGAGACTGGTCTCCTCAAGCCAGGTAAAGCTAAACTTTCTTGTCTTCCGGGTTGATGATTGGGGGTGTAGGCTCTCTTTTCGCTTTGGGTATTTCATACATGTATTCTGTGCAATTTGGGTCGACAGTGGGCAGCCACTCCAACTCTCACCGCCCCAAAGCGGAGCTCGCGACGAAGTCTTGCGCATGTATGCATTATTGAGCGAACGTCTTCGTCGAGAGCTAGCCCTCCACCTCCTGCACTTGGTGAAATATTTAATCCCTTTCCGTAGGAATTCCATTATCAAAATGAAAGTGAAAGGCCAGTCAAATAAAATCAAACTTTTAAACATTTAAACTTGGTTCTAGTTGTTGGACCTTAAATATGCTCCCATGGTTTTATCATTATCAAAAAATGACAAGGATAGAATTGCGAGGGAATTTATTTTATACTAACTAACATAACTAGCTATTGATACAAACACAAATAAATTAGCGACAGTTCGAATAATATAGTTAAATGCCTTCGTTCACGTTTCTCTCTCTGTATGCACCCACCCCCATCCAAAAGCCTATACATAGCATCCGGATATGTAACTCTGCTCGGTCGCTTCGTTTCCGGTTTCGTTTCAGGCATGGTCGTCAACTTCGCGCCGGTCAACCTGGTCACCGAAGTAAAGTCGGTGGAGATGCACCACGAGGCTCTCACCGAAGCGATGCCCGGCGACAACGTCGGCTTCAACGTGAAGAACGTGTCCGTGAAGGAGCTCCGTCGTGGCTACGTGGCCGGCGATTCCAAGAACAATCCCCCTAGGGGAGCAGCCGATTTTACCGCTCAGGTAGGCTAACAAACATTGAAAATCTCTGCTAGATCTCGGACTCATCTCTGCTTGTCACTCATAGGTGATTGTGCTCAACCATCCGGGTCAGATCGCCAATGGCTACACTCCCGTATTGGATTGCCACACGGCGCACATTGCCTGCAAGTTTTCGGAGATCAAGGAGAAGTGCGACCGTCGTACGGGCAAGACCACCGAGACGGAGCCGAAGGCTATCAAGTCCGGGGATGCGGCCATCATTGTGCTGGTGCCCAGCAAGCCGCTGTGCGTAGAGAGCTTCCAGGAGTTCCCACCGCTGGGACGGTTCGCTGTGCGCGATATGAGGCAGACCGTGGCCGTGGGCGTCATCAAGTCGGTCAACTTTAAAGAGACGACCTCGGGCAAGGTGACAAAAGCCGCTGAGAAGGCACAGAAGAAGAAATAACTAGGGTGCCAGCAGAACAACGTCATCACTCGAACCCAACAACAACAAGAACAGACGGCTAGAGCAACAGCAACAACACACAACAACAATACACATGTCAAAATTATAATACCCACTCGACGATCAAAATCACACCTTAGCTCCATGGCAACCGAGACACCAATTACTACTATTACTAGCTGCAGGCAGATGCAGATATTAACCGAAATCGAGCAGATTATACCCCATATAATAACCACACGTACGATTAGCGAGGCGAGGAGCATCAGCTGCAGCGAGGATGCGAAGGAGGAGCCCTTCCAGCTGGCCAGGTCGGTTTTGGTCGCCTTCGCCGTGGTGGTCTACTGCAGCTATCTGAACATGTATCGTCACCGCAAGTCCTTTCGCAGGAAACCACCCACTGAGCACTTCGAGGAGTGGATAGGAACCTTCGGAGCACTGCTGTAGCCTGCCCCTTCGATATATACTCATCTCTACAACTAACCTTACATTTGATTAGCAGCCACACATCCGGTCGCATCCACCTGTTTCGAATGGATTTTAAACACTTTTTATACTTTTGATAAGTCAAGTCGGAGGCATTCGATTTAAAATCTATTAAACTATGTAATTTCCGAATTTAGTTTTAAACCACCACGTCCAGGCTCCCAGAAATCCCCTGAACCAAAAAGACTACATTCGCAATGAATTCAAAATTTTCTCTTGAAACCAAAAGACAAATGCTTAAGAAGTATTACAAAAAAGAAATCAACATTACACACATAATCATGCGGTTTTTGAAAACATTCTAAATGTTTCATCGAGCCTCATTTGCATTTGCATACTACATAATATACGTTAACCACATGTCATTTCATTGCCCATAATAACCTGCATATTATACACGTTAATCTCACACTCTGAATTTATACAAATCGAAAACAATTGTAACCGACACCAGAACAATTCTTGGATACAGAACATGTTGCTTGATACAAGATCTTTTAAATGATGAGAAAAATAAAGGAAGCTTAACCGTAAAATACCACACACGCACATCTTTTAATTCGAAGGCAAAAAACAGGGGAAATGTAATGAACTTCAATTTTTACGAATAAAAGCCATTGCTTCATAAAATGCATTCAGTTTAAAATCAAATTCAAATTAAGGCGGTTCCGAGTGGTTCCTTAAACTAGTTCCGTCGAGGGGTGACAACCCTGGCTCTGACTCACTGGGCGCTCTGTACAAAAACAACAAAGAAAGCGTTGCTACCACACCGAATCTCAGCCGGCTGTTCGAAGTTTAGTCGAAATAACTGTGATTCAGAACAGGAACTCCACGTCGAGCTCCACCAACTCAGTTTGTAGTAGAACGCAGCGGAGGCCGCACAAAGATGACAGACCCTCGCATCCGGCAGCTGGTAATTAAGTCCGGAGTCGTCAGGCGGCTGACCAGGGAGAAGTACTGCTACGCCAAGGAAGTGGTGACCGAGCAGGCCAGGATGGAGAAGCTCAGGGGCGACGGAGCCGACGACCACGTACTGCGCAAGCAGGAGGAGGTCATCCAGGAGTGCATCATGATGGTGCCCGACTCCAAGAGAAGGTACGCGTTCTTCAAATTCTCTTTTCGTTAAAGAGCTAATGAGGCGTTCCTTTCACAGACTGCAAAAGGAGTACGAGGTTCTGGAGAAGTACCTCGCCGATGAGCAGGACCTAAAGGAGACCGAGGCGTATACGAAGGCAGCAGAGATCCTCAAAGCAGCCAAAGCTGAACTGGAGGCCTAAGACCACCCCACACCTCATTCACTGCCCCTTAGTATCAGCATTATAGCAAATTCCAGAAGGCAATTCCATCTTCAAGTTCTGAGCTGCAGAGCGGCTTGGTTCCCTTTTATTACTATTAAGCTAATACTCTTCCCTCAAATAACATTATATTTTTTGTATGTTTATTACAAAGAATCGACTAGTTGCTGGTGGATTACCTAAATTTCATATTTCACTAAATAAAATAAATTATTACATATTTTAAAACCACCCCTAGCTGCGTTTTCGGACGTTTACCAACACAGCCACTAACAACCAAAGTAAAATGACACCGCCGCAGAGAAAGCATAAATTAAGTGAAATTAAAGCCAATATTCAGCAAGTTATATCGAGTTTAAGGCAACTGGAGCAACAGAGCAGCGGGGCGGGGAGCGATTTGGATGTGCAGCGGGCGGAGGAACTGCAGCGGAGCACGGCAACCCTGCTGGATGAACTTGATCAAGTGCCGGGCCAACAAGTAGTCGCCCAACAAAAACAAAGAAAACGCCGGCGACGCTTAGACAGACGAAGTAAACAGCGGGCGAAATGTGCATCCATCAAATCCGAGCCCACAGAACAGAAGATCTCAATAGAACCGCCCCGGAATCCCGAACTGAAACAAGCGGAGCACATCTCGCTGCGCAAGCAACGGGATGCAGCCTCCATTTTGGAGACCTTTGAACTTCTGGAGAAACTATGCGAATCCCGTGGAGGAGACAAAGCTGCCCTTTGCCAAAAACTGACCCACATGCGTCGTGTTTGGCGAAGAGTCCGAGAGGAGACTCAAGCTGGCAATGCAAAGGAGTCCAAGAAGGTTGCTTCACTGGAATCTCAATGGAATGTGGTGTTTTTCGGTCCATCCTTGCCATCGGCTAAAGTGAATAAGGCGAAATTTCTTGAAATTCGGTAGGACTAGGGAAACGCATTACACGGGAGCTTCTCTTAATTTCATCGTTCCTTCCAGCTCCACATGGGATTCTTACATAAGCTACTGCGGGAGGGGCTCCTGTATACCCAGAGGATGGGTGTTGCCGCCAACGAAGCCCACAGCTCAGTGGGTGGCCTACCGATGTACCACTTAAAATATTGATTGGTTTTACTGCCTACTATGGATACCATGAAAACCATACCGAACCTCACACTCCTCATAAAGAAGCAAGATTAGCTACTAATTATCGTGGAATTTTATTTCTTTAGAAGAATCAATCTGTATTCAGCTTAGACGAGGGCAGGCAATTGCAGCAGCCGCCTATTCGTAGATCCAGTCCTTGGCGGCCGGGGTCCAGGTGACCAGCTCCTTCTCGTTGAACCACAGGGCGATCTCCTTCTCGGCAGACTCGACGGCATCGGAGCCGTGGATGATGTTGCGTCCGACCTGGATGCAGAAGTCACCGCGGATGGTGCCGGGCAGGGAGTCGGCGGGGTTGGTGGCGCCGAGCATCTGGCGACCGGTCTTGACTACATTGAGACCCTCCCACACCATGGGCACCACGGGTCCGGAGTTCATGTAGTTGACGAGTCCGGGGAAGAAGGGGCGGGCAGACAGATCGGCGTAATGCTTCTCCAGCAGCTCCTTGGAGGCCTGGTTACAAAACGGTTCGTTATCAGTTAATTGCAGTTCTGACCTCTAAACACATGTCATTGCGCTGATGACGCCTGCACCCAGCCTTTGAGGTTAGGTCCGATGGCACCCCGCGTGGGGCAGCCCTTTTCCACGTACAAATGTGTGTATATCTATTGATTTATCGCTAATTCGATTAGCCTCTTACCCAGGTGAACTTCAGGGCGACCAGCTTGAAGCCCTTCTGCTCGAAGCGCTCGATGATCTTGCCGACGAGTCCGCGCTGGACGCCATCGGGCTTGACCATGATGAAAGTCCTCTCCTTGTTAGCCGCCATTGTCGCCGAGATTACAGAAAAGAATGCCAAAATCGTGCCGAGCATCAGGAGCTTCATGGGTTCGTCGTTGCAAAAAAATCCCGAATACGAAATGCCGGAAAAGTGAATTTGTGGGTAATCGTCAAGTGGTCACACTAGTCAGCCGCGTTCTTCAGTTTTCTTACTTTTTGGGGATTTTATGATCGAAAAAATTAATTTTAGATCAACTTATTCTTAAATTGCAAGGCGGAAAGTTGATTGCATTGCTGAAGTATTACTATATTTTATTCATTATTTTTTTTTATTCATTATTATTTTATTCAATTATAACCGCATTAGTAGGGTTGCCATGTCTCTTCCTTTTTTGAATTTCAGAATGTATGAATATTTTAAGGCTACAATAATACAAACTCTTTCAATTGATAAAACAGGTAGTTTAATTGCCAGAAACATTCAAAAACTAAAGACGGATGAGATGGCGTTGTGCAAAGCAAAGAGTTGCCCATTATGAAATATGGGAATCCCCGCAATACGAGGCACCCATCAGCATCACCATTCCCATTAGCTGATTCATCCGTCCAGCAGGTTAATAGAAACCAACAGAAAGTCACGTTTAGATTTCTTTTTATGTCCCGATAAGATTAGGTCCATGTGATCACAGTAGTGATAAAACAATACAAGTTTACAAATAATATATACAGCTGATAGACGCAAATATCCGGCGCAAATTATTTAGTGGCGTCTAGTTTGGTCAGGCCGTCGGCGTATTGGAACTCCGGGCTGTTCTCGTACTCGCACATGTCCAGGGCGATGACGCAGCTCTCCTTGACCACGCGCTTGTCGTCCTCGGCATAGCGGTTCAAGATCTGAATGCAATCCTCCGTGGCGATGGCGCCGAGGGCCTCGGCACACTCGTGGCGCACCATTTCGTTTTCCAGGCGATCCTCCAGATTCTCTTGAAGGAAGGGAATGCTACAGGGCTCCTGCAGCTGGCCCAGGACGAAGGCCACCTCGTGGCGGAAGAGGGCGGAGGAGTCCTTCAGGCCCTCGGCAATGGCCAAAACGCTCTCCTCGGTGCGCAGATTGCGCAGGCTGAACATGGCCCTATACCGATCGAACAGGGTCTGCTGGGCGTCCAGATAAATGGTCTTCAGCTCGGTGACGCTCTTGTCGCCCGCAGTTGGTGGCGAGGGATCAACGGAGGCGTAAGGGTTGTTGTCATCTACCTTTTGGCCACTCTGCAGCCAGCGGACGCGGTCTAGAGCAATAGCACACGTTTCAGCCACCTCCACCACTGGGTCTTGCTTGTACTCCTCCAGAATTGGCAGCACATCTGGGTGACCAATGGCTCCCATGGCCTCCGCAGCCTCGTGGCGCACCATCGGCTCCTGGGCGGTGTCCTTCAGCACCTTGGTGAGGATGTCCAACGCCTGGGCGTCCTGCATCTGACCCAAGCAGTAGGCCAACTCATGTTTGAGTAGGGCCGAATCATCGTCGAAGGCTTTGCTGATCGCCTCGATGGCCGCTCCTCCGCCGATGTTCTTCAGCGTGAAGAGGGCTCGAAAGCGCTCTTTAAGCGGGCGGTCTTTGTTGTTCAAGACGCCTCCAATGGCCTCGACTTGCTGCTGCGAAACCATGTTGGTGGGGTGTAGATTTATAAATAAAAAAATATGTACAAAAGGCCGCGTGCGGTGTAGCAGTGTGACCATACACTCAGTTCGTGAAAATACCACAACAAAAGTACGACTATCGGCGATTAATCGATATGACATTATTATCGAGTAATCGTAAATCGATAAAACGGTGCTGCCATCTCGATAAAATTACAAATTGTGCAGCACTAGCAAGAAGCAGTTTAGTTACGTTTACTCCGTGCAAGCGCGATACAAAAAGTTTTTAAAAGGGGGAAAATCGACCGTATTAGGCACAGAAAGTATACGAAAATACTGACTCAGTCCCTGCGCAGTATCGGTGACCAAAGAAGCTGCTCTCCACGGTGAAAAGTTCTCGCAAAATCGGCATTTCTGAAAGTTGCGCGTTCACGGTATGCGAAGCGTGGCGTGTGTGTTGAGTTGAGTTACCTGCAATTGTGTGCGCCTGCGAGAGTGGAAGTGGAGTAAGCCTCGCCACCGTTTCGAAGTTTTGGAAATATATAGGAATTGCGAAACCATCAGTACCGCCCAGCTTTTATTCTGAACCATGTCGGAGGCAACTGTGGCCCAAAAGCCGGAGGCGGTGGAAGTTGTGGAGGCGGCGGCGGGTGACGAGAAGAAGACTCCCGTAAGTAGCCGCACATACACATATTTAGCGACAATTAACATAGCACGGCGATAACGCACACCAACATGGGCCCTGCTTTGCTTTGCCCGAATTATCTGCGGTATTTTTCCAAAATAACTGTGTGTGTATATGGGCACTGGGATGTGGTGCATTTTCACCATTTCCCTTTGTGCGCTGTGTCCGTTTTCTATTTACGTTTCTTTTTTCAACGTCTACCCTCGTGTGCGCGCGCTTTTTGCTTTTTCCTGTCCACTTTCCAACTCCCCCTCCCCTGCCATGGAAGCCAGCAGCATGTGTGCGGCTGTGTGTATACGTGTGTAGCTACTCGCCGAAGAAGAAGAGCAGAGGAGATGACGAGAGAACAGAGGCAATCGGCGATTCCCTTTCGGGCTCACGTTTTGCCGCTGCTGCCGCGTCTCGTTTGTTTTTATTTTTGCTTGTTCCCTTTTCGACTTTTTGTTGTTTGCTGTACTTTGTCATACACCGCGGCACGAACACTTGCATCCGCTACGCGGTGTTGTGTATGTGTATGTATGCGCTACGTTGCGCTCTAGATTCGGTTCCATTTTTTAGCGGCGACTATACTATACTAATAGATATATGTACGTATCGATGCCTAACTCAACTCCCCCGATCGACAGCTATTAGTGTGGGGTTCATTTGGGGTCTCTAGTGAAATCCGCGGCAGGCGGGGCTATGCGGGTGCAATTGTTGCGGTCACTTGGCCATGTCAACAATAGTACAGTGCGCACTTGGATTAAAATATTAAAGTATTGCCGATAAGAATGAATGTTACTCTTTCTTTATAATTGTAATTTGGAGTCACTAGTAAAGCAACGTGCATTGCAACTGTATGCAACTGAAATATATCAACTAACAGAAATATGGATTATCAGGTACATATATTCCCTAAAAGAGAATTGAGTTTTGGCGGGAAATCAAACACTTGCAAAAATAAATATGTACTAGTACTTAGATATGTATACTGAAATGTAACTTACCAAAATCGATCTCTACTCTACTGCAGAAACGCACTCCCAAACGCCGCTCGTTCATTGAGCGGGCGCAGCAGGAAAGCGAGGAGCTTGTGCGAACGATGGGTGGAAGTCTGGAGCTGGCGGGCGGGCGGCGGACGCGGTCTAGCACTCGAGGAACGCCGACGCGAGCCTCCGAGACAGTGACGCCGCCACCCAGCAAAAAGGCGCGCACATCTCCGGCCTCGGCCACCAAGGCCAGCGCGGGAAAGGGACGCGGAGCACGTAAGCTAGACGTCGGCGGTGATGAGCCCGAGCAAGAGGTGGAGAAGGTACAGACACCGGCCAAGGGAAAGGTAAACCAATTATCTGGTCTTGTTATCATTGCAAACTAACAAAAGCTTCTTTTAAGGGATCTGCCAAGAAGGACAAGAAAGAGGTCAAGAAGCAGGAGAAGGCAACTGAGGAAGATGCGCCGGAGGAGGCGAAGGAAGATGTAGCTGAGCCTAAAGAGAAAGACGTCAATCCACCTGAGGTCGAGGACCAACCGGATGGTGTGGGGAAAGTGCCTGCAGTTGCGGAGGAGAAGCAGAACCATGTCGATGAAGTCAAACCAATATCACAAGACCCTGAGAATTCAACCGAAGAGGTGCCAAAAGTCGAAGAGCCACTGAAGTCGAGCGGGAAAACTTCGGAGAATGGAGCCGCTACAGTCACTGCCGCTGCACCTGAAGAACCTGCTTCTGTTATGGATGTGGACGAAGATGAGACGGTCGTCGAAAGCACACCTTCTGCAAATAAAGAAAAGGCATTAGTCGAAGAAAAAGAACCAGAACAGAAGCCAGAGGAACATGCAGCAGCAGTTGTGGAGTCCAAGGTGCAAAGTGAGCCAGCCAAGGAACCCACACCAGAACCTATGGAAGTGGACGCGAGTTCGAAAGGCAGTTCGGACACCGCTCAAGTAGACACACCAGCCACCGAGAACGTTCCCACCGCTCCAGAAACGGAAGCAGCAGCAAAGGCAACAGAGTCTAGCAATGATGTGGTGGAAGAGGCCACAGAGGTCAAAGAAGCCACAGAGGTGAAAGAAGCAGTTTTAGAAGTGCCCGCTGCCGAGCCCAAGGAAGCTGTAAGCCCTGTGGAGTCCGCGGAAGAGGTTACGGAAACCAGCACCACAGAGGTGACGGAGCCCAAGGAAGCCGCCAACAGTGAAGAGCCCAAAAAGGCTGTGGACTCTGCGGAATCCAAGGAGGCGGTGAGCAATACTGATGAGAGTGCCACGCCTGTTTCTGTTGAGGTTCCTGCCGCCCCCGCCTCCAATGATGTCAGCAAGACCTTGGAAACCGATGCCACCGTGGTTAAGACTGCCGACAGTCCAGCAAAGGAACCACAGGAAATCAGCGAGGTCAAGAAGGCCGAACTTAATGTAAATGGTGAGTTGAATAACCTTTTTAGTAATGAACTCAATTGAAAACAAGTCTCTTTCCAAGGTGAGCCCAAGATCGCCAACAGTCCCGCCGAGGTGGGCGAGAATGCTGCGCCAAAAGTGTGTAACTAGACAAATCCCACCGATGGACAATCAACAACCTTAATGCGTTGCGGATGTGTACAAAATCTTCTTCAGCTCGCCCGCCGAGTGGGTCTGATGTTGCCAACTACATGCAAACATTTAAGAGTTTCCCAAACAAAGCTACGATTTTCTTTTTTAATTGATCACTTGATTTCGTACTCAGAAATCCCTTCACTTTCATGATAGTTTCGCGTGCTCCAGTATTTGGTTTACGCGAGGGACGCCATAGGCTGCAATCGATGCTGGACTTTCAATACTGCAGTGTGTGCGTCAGCTAGACAGACAAGAAAAACAATTAGGCAGTAGTACCAGTCCCCAAAACCCTCCCACCCACTTCCCGGAAATGCACAGACAGATTGTAAAATGCATCTTATTATAATATGTATGTGGATAATTAATCAAATTGGAATCAAACAAATTATACATTAACGGAAATGTATGTAAAATAGATGTTTTTAAATTGTAAGACATTAATATCCTTAATTATAAAACGAATTGGACAACACTCAAAACATAAGCAAACGGATCGCGGACATTTTTTAACTATTGTAATGCAGAACAAATGGTCTGCGGCTTAAGTAACGTCTATGCATAACTTTCACCCTTTTTGGACAATTTTTTAAGTATTTCGAGCCCGTTTCATTTGAAGCATTTACATTTTTTTAAAGTGCCGACTTGCAATCGGTGACTACGAATGAGCTCATTGGAAACTGTTGTGTTAGGTAAAGGTCCCTTCCTTCGGGCGATCTCTCCTAACTTAATTCGTAAATACAGGCTAGAGTAAAGAGAAACCTTTTTCAATGAAAAAAAGAAACACAAATTCTAATAGTAATACTAATGATAAATAATATAGAAACACAGCAAAAGCGTAAATTAGTTTTGGAAGCCGTTGCAACTGAAATGATCAGTCAGACCGTTTTTGTATGTAGCATATCTTCTGTATAAGGCATTCTTCATTTGAATATTCTTTTGTAAATAAATCTTACATATATACAAGAGAAATTAAACTTGTTTGGCCGTTCTCAAAATGGAATTGATATCTGTCGTATGCAAATATAATACTTGTTTTGCTTTTGGCGAAGTGTAGTTCTTAACTGAATTGATATCTCTGGATTACAAATGGATTTACAGAAACTGTAAAAACATGTCATTTTATTTTTGAAATATTCGTAGCTAAATATGAAAGCAATCTCATTAGAACTGTAAACCCTTGCTTGAGTGATCCACTGTATGATGGTGTATTACACCAGTTCTTATTCATACTTAAGAAGTCTAATGCAAATGTACAGATGTGTTAATACTAAGCTCCTGCTGCACTGCCGTTTTCCTTTTCCTTGATTTGCTCTTCGGAAAGTGGCGTCTTTAGAGGCAACTCCTCCAGCTCCAAAACTGGACTTGACTTGTTCAACCAGCTCCGGACGAATGGTGAGTAGAGCTTCGGGTTCTGCTTTTCATCCTTGTCCAAGGGCCACACATAGCTCATGGGAAAGGCCCACGCGAAGACTAGAAGAGCACCCATCACCTTGTACCAGTAAAAGGATGTGTCGTAGATGGAGAAGTCGCGGTTGCTGCCGAATGCGGTGGTAACCTCCTTGGGAGCTTCCAGCGAGGGAATCGCGGTAGTGGCTAAGCTGGTGACGTTCTTGTTTCTGGGGTAAATGATTACATTGAAAAAAGTTAATATAGATAATTCAGATTCACACTACACTACTTACATAGCTTTCAAGATGACCTCGAAACCCTTGGCCTCGCACTTGTCCAAGCCATTGGGCAAGGGATCGTACTTAATCAGCCCAGCCTTAATGTTCATCTGGCCATTGATGATGATCCACATCATCACGAGGCAGCTAAAGGCGATCCCACTCACCGCCACCTTGGCATTGCAACGCGGCACAAACATGCCCAGGCAAAACACTCCCACCACAGCGCCCATATTGATGCCGGTAATCGTCCACATCGTCTGAATAATGGAGTTGAAGTTCTGCACGATGAAGCCGCCCAAGATGCAGTACGCTCCCATGACCACGATCACCAGTTTCATAGTTGCGTTGGCTTTGGCTTCCGAGTGATTGATTCGCGGCTTAATGTAGTCGAAGTAAACCACTCCGGCAAAGGAATTTAGACTGGCGGAAAGAGAACTCAGAGAGGCACTGAAAACGCAGGAGATGAAGACGCCGGGCATGCCCATTATGTGACCCATTATATCCTGGATGAAAAACGGCATCAACTTGTCTGGCTTGCTGACCAGCTGAACGAAGTGAATATTAAATGAGAATTCATTCAAAACAAGTGATTCAGAAATCTCACCCCAGCCTGAATGGGATCGCATCCGTAGTAGTAGGCAAACATGATGATGCCGATGAAGCAGGTAAAGGACATGATGAGTAGGAAGCCAATGCCAGCCACCAGCAGGCACCTCTTGGCATGGCCATAGGAGGGCAGAGACACAATCCTCTGCACGCAGCTCTGGTCTAGGCCAATCTTACCGGTCCACATCAGAAGGCCGCTGGCCGTTCCACTGAAGAAGGTGGCGCGCAGGCGGGGATCGATGCCAAAACTAAAAGAACCACGTACGAACTTAAGCAACACTTGCTTGAAATGTTAGGCCACCCATTTACTTACTCGAAGTTAAATCGTCCCCCCTCATTGGCGTCTCCCAAAACATTGATTAGGCCTCCTGTGTTGCGAATACCCAAAATGGCCACCAGAATAACCGAGATCAGCATAACGCCTCCCTGAACCACGTCTGTCCAGACCACCGCCTTGATCCCGCCGAGCATCGTGTAGAAAACGCAGATGGAGGAGACCACAGTGTTAATCAGGTGAATGTTGTATCCGGTGACTGCAAATGAAAATGAATTTTAATTCAACCACTGACGCGCCTGCGATTAAAATCTATTTCCATTATACCTTGCGAAAAGGCCAGCGAAGGCACAAACATGTACACGGGAAGCATCAGAAATTGGTTGAGGACAAAGGTAACGGTCACCAACTGTCGCGTACGCTTGCTAAATCGCATCTCAAGATACTGTGGAAGAAAACCAAGGCGAGATTAAGGAATCTAGTTCTTGAATAATGTCGAATATCTTAACCTACCTCGTAGCAATTGGAGACATTATTATCGTAGAAAACGGGCACAATGATGTATATAAGGACGGGCACCACCAAGACCATGGACCAGACCAAGAAGATCATATTGAATCCAAATGCGTAGGTCTCCGCCGGCACAGACATCATGGCTACTCCAGACAGCTGGCTGAAAAGGATCGAGAAATTAGTAGAAACCCACGGTGGCCGCCTTTTAGATATAACCCTTCCCAAGGTCACTTCAAATAACAACCATTCTACACCTAAAAGTAATGAAGCCCGCTAGTAATGGCTCCCGGAAAAAGGGGGCTCGCACCTTAGTGGATCTATTTCACAAGATTCGCGGTAAAAGTGCAATTCATCTGAGCTTCTTTATGGCCGTAATAACTGGCATGCGCATTTGGATAAGATATACGGATAGACGTACGAGAATAGAATAAATGGCTTAAGAGGGAGCAGGCCCGATACAGCGATACTATCTTTATGGCCCGTGATGTGTCTGGTGTGGCTTCACTGGTGCTACGCAGTGACGACATGGAAATTTATGGGAAAAAGCGTGCGGGCCACTCACCTCGAGACAAGGGAAATGGCCACGGGAAACGTTGGCATCTTCTTTCCGCCCTGCAGGTACTCCTCAGTGGTGTTCTTGGCCTTTGAGAAGAAACCGAAGTACACTCCAATTCCTGCTGAGGCGCTCAGCATCAGAGAGAAGACTATGTAGTCCGTGAGGCTGAAGCGGAGGTCCTCCAGGGCAGCAGCCGTGGCAGTGGCCACTGTGCTGGCCAAATTGCTAGCACTGCTTGCCATCCTTAGAATCGCGAAGTGGGGAAGACCGATCGGGAAACTCCTTGGTGCTTTGGTTCTGGATGCTGCCAGCACACTTGTGGAGATCGGATCTTAGACGCCCTTTTTAAGTAGCTCCTCGCGTTAGATGACCACCTTATCTTGACACGATATCTATGCATGTGAGTCGTAATCGTAGCAAATCGTAAATCAGAAGCGCTTCTTATCTGGCGCACTGAGAATGCCGATGTTACTGGTTAGTATCTGGAATTCCCGAGACGTATACCCTCCATAAAGTACCAACTTGTCCATCAATCGAGGTCAATCTTGAATACTGGGCCATTCCATCGTATAATGCGAATTCTCCCTATCACCAGGAGCAGGAATGACGTTGATAATGGGAGTCTGTCTGTGAACTTGAATCACCAGACGATGGTCTTTACTTACGCATCTGCTAGAGAAGTGAGGACCTTGAAGTGCCCTCTAGATCATTGGACCTTAGGAAAGCATTCGGGTTATTGATGCAATGTGATAAAAAATCTGATGGATTTGCTTTAACCTGTAACATTTTCTTTCCCAGATTGCGTGGGCTGCAATTATAGCTTGGCGATACATTGTTTGAAACACAGTTTCCTGACCCCTAGGTTTCTCTAAATCTAAAAAGAAATTAAAGATATCTCTCTGTTTGGTTTTTATTTAGCATTGTAAATCGTCTTCCTCATATTTTAGCCTATCAATTTATAAGGAATCAGTGGTCGGTGCCAGCATGTTTTTGCTTTTCAGTAGGATCTATGCGGAGGTCGGGAATTTCACCGACCTTTGCTCCTCGAAGTGGCACCTCCTCCAGCTCCTGATCCGTACCAGACAGAGAGAGGAACTTCCTCACGAAGGGCGAGTACAACTTGGGATTTTGTTTCTCGTTCTTGTCGATTCGCCAGATGTAGCTCATTGGGATCGCACATAGAAAGACCAGAGCGGTACCCAAGACCTTGTACCAATAGAACGAGATGTCGTACAGAGAAAAGTCCCGATCGCTGTGGAAGGCGGTGGTCACTGGTGCGCCTGAAGGGGGTTTCACCGTGACAGGGGTGAAGCCGGTCTTGTTGCTGGAATGGAGCGTCTATTAGGTGAGCACCAGAGTGTCCCCATAGTCTACTTACATGACCTCC